GGACACCAAATGTACAAAATAACAACAGATCTATACCAAGGCATAGTATAATGAAAATGCCTAGCATAGTGAATAAGGAGAGAATTTCAAAAGCCACAAGAGAGGGAAACTAATTAGGATCTGTATGGATCACTGAACCCAGACGCTTGAAGCTAGAAGGTCTTGGAATAACATATATCAAGCTCTGACAGAAAATGGATGTTGACCAAGAATCTTATATATCCAGCAAAATTAAGCTTTAGATTTGATGTCAAAGTTAAAAAAATTTATAATTAGAAAGTCTACACTATACCACATCCTCCTTAAAATATTCCATGAGGAGGAAATAAAAAACAACAATGAAAATCAGCAAAGGGAGATATTACACTAAAGGAAAAACCAATGAAAGGAGAAAATAAGCCATGTTAAAATACCAAAAATTAACAGAAAAGACTGGGAATACAAGTCATGTCTCAATAATAACCCTGATTGTTAATGGCCTAAACTCATCCATCAAAAGACATAGACTGGCAGATTAGATTTTTTTAAAAAGACCCAACAATATGATGCCTTCAAGAGACTCATCTCATAGAAAAAGACATCCACAGACTGAAGGTGAAAGGTTGGGAAAAAACATACCACTCACATGGACTGCAGAAAGAAGCAGGAGTTTCCATCCTCATATCAGGTAAAGTAGACTGCAAGGTAAAGTTAGTCAAAGGGGGTAAAGAAGGATATTTCATACTGCTTAAGGAAACCATACATCAACAAGACATAATATACAATCACTAACTTAAACTTAACAGACACATATAGAATATTCCATCCATCAATGAGTGAATACACTTTCTTCTCAACAGTACATGGATCCTTCTCTAAAATAGACCATATATTATGCCACAAGGCAACTCTTAGCAAACACAAAATAGTAGAGATACTACTCTGCATTTTACCAGACCATGATGGAATGGAATTAGAAATCAAAGATAAAATAAAAACTAGAAGCTACTCCAACACCTGCAGACTAAACAATATGCTATTGACTGAACAGTGAATTGCACAGGGTATCAAATAGGAGATTAAAAATTCTTAAGAGGTAGGGACTGGGGATGTGGCTCAAGTGGTAGCATGCTCGCCTGGCATGTGTGTGGCACAGGTTTGATCCTCACCACCACATACAAACAAAGATGTTGTGTCCGTCAAGAACTAAAATAAATAAATAAATATTAAAAAAATTCTCTCTCTCTCTCTCTCTTTAAAAAAATTCTTAGAGGTAAATGATACACTGATAAAACATATCAAAATCTCTAGGACACTAGGAAGGCAGTACTAAGAGGAAAGTTCATGGAATGGAATCCATTCCTTTAAAGAAGAAAAAGTCAACACATAAATGACCTAACCATTATATCTGAAAGCCCTATAAAAAGAAGAACAAATCAATACCAAAGCAGTAGAAGACAGGAAATGATTAAAAACAGAGCTGAAATCAATGAAATTGAAACAATTGAAAAAAATGACAAAACAAAAAGTTGGTTGTTTGAAAAAATGAATAAGACTGTTAAACCCTTAGCCATGCTAATGAAGAGAAGGAGAGAGAAAACTCAAATTACTAATATCCAGATGAAAAAGGAAATATCAAGATGGATACTACAGAAATACAGAAGATAATTAGAAATTAATTGAAAACTTGTACTCCAATAAAATAGAAAATATAGAAGACATCAACAAATTTGTAGTATCATATGATTTACCAAACTAATTCAGGATGACATGCACAAGTTAAACAGATTAATTTCAAGTAATGAAATAGAATGTGTCAACAAAAGCCTACCAACCAAGAAAAGTCCAGGGCTAGATGAATTCACAGCTGAGTTCTACAAGACCTTCAGAGAAAAAAAAAAATTATAGCAATACTCCTCAAGTTATTCTATGACATAGAAAAAGAGGGAATACTTCCAAACTCATTCTAGGAGGCCAATATCACCCTGATTCTAAAACAGACAAAGAGACGTCAAAGAAAGAAAACTTCAGACCATTATCTCTAATGTAAACATAGATGCAAAAATTCTCAATAACATTCTGGCAAACTGAACACAAAAACATATCAAAAAGATCGTGCACCACGATCAAGTGGGGATTCACCCCAGGGATGCAAGGTTGGTTCAACATACAGAAATCAAAAAATGTAACTCATCACATCCATAGACTCAAAAGATAAAAATCATATGATCATCTCAATAGATGCAGAAAAAGCATTTGGACAAAATACGGCACCCCATTCATGTTTAAAACGCTATCAAATCTATGGATCAAAGAAGCATACCTCAACATCATAAAGGCTGTCTATGCTAAGCCAAGGCCAACATCATTCTAAATGGAGAAAAATTGAAAGCATTCCCTCTAAAAACTGCAACAAGAGAGGGATGCCGTCTTTCACCACATCTATTTCACATAGTCCTTGAAAATCTAGCCAGAGCAATTAGACAGACAAAAGAAATTAAAGAAGAACTCAAACTATCACTATTTGCCAATGACATGATTCTATACCTAGAGGATCCAAAAATTCCACCAGAAAACTTCTAGCACTAATAAATGAATTCAGAAAAGTAGCAGAATATAAAATCAACACCAGTAAATCAAAGGCATTTCTGTGCATCAGTGACAAATTCTCTGAAAGAAAAACGAGGAAAAATACCCTGTTTACAATAGCCTCAAATAGATAGATAGATGATTGATAGATAGATAGATACATAGATAGATAGACAGATAGATAGATAGATAGAATATTTCAGAATCAACCTAACGAAAGAGGTGAAAGACCTCTACAAAGAAAACTACAGAACACTAAAGAAAGAAATTAAAGAAGACCTTAGAAGATGGAAAGAGCTTCCTTGTTGTTGGATAGGCAGAGTTAATATTGACAAAATGACCATACTACCAAAAGCACTATACAGATTTAATGCAATTCCAATCAAAATCCCAATGGCATTCCTTTTAGAAATAGATAAAGCAGTCATGAAATTCATCCGGGAAAAAAAAAAAAACAGAATAGCTAAAGCAATCCTTAGCAAGAAGAGTGAAGCAGGTGGCATCACTATACCAGACCTTAAACTATACTACAGAGCAATAGTAACAAAAATGGCATGCTATGGTCACCACAATAGACCTGTAGAATGGAGGACACAGAAACTAACCCACATAAAAACAGTTATCTCATACTAGACAAAGGTGCCAAAAACATACATTGGAGAAAAGACAGCCTGTTCAACAAATGGTGCTAGGAAAACTGAATATCCATATGCAACAAAATGAAATTAAGCCTCTATCTCTCACCATGCACAAAATTCAACTCAAAATGGATCAAGGACCTAGGAATTAGACCAGACACACTGCATCTAATAAAAGAAAAATATACCCAAATCTTCATCATGTTGGATGAAACCATCATTTGGTCCAGCTATCTTACTCCTTGGTTTATACCCAAAGGGCTTAAAAATAACATACTACAGGGACACCGCCACATCAATGTTTTTTGTTGTTGTTGTTGTTGTTTGTTTTGATTTGATTTTGGGGTTTTCTTTGGTATTTTAATTTTTTTTAGCTGTTGATAGAACTTTATTTATACGTGATGCTGAGAATCGAACCCAGTGCCTCACACATGCCAGGCAAGTGTACTACTGCTGAGCCACAGCCCCAGCCCCAAACCCATATTTATGGCAGCACAATTCACAATAGCTAAATTGTGGAGCCAAACTAGATGTCCTTAAATAGAAGAATTGATGAATAAACTGTGGTATATATACACAATGGAATATTACTCAGCAATGAAAGAGAATAAAATCATGGCATTTGCAGGTAAATGGAAGGGGTTGGGTAATATCATGCTAAGAAAAGTAAGCCAATCCCCCAAAGCCAAAGACTAAGTGTTTTCTCTGATAAGTGGATGCTGATACATAATGGGGAGGGCGGGATCATGGGAGGAATAAAGGAAGTTTGGATAGGGCAAAAGGGAGGGAGGGAAAGGGAGGGGGCATGGGGGTAGAAAACCAGTGGTGTGATTGTATACTTTGTGTACAGTCAGAGAAATGAAAATTTGTGCTCCATTTGTGGACTATGAAGCGAAGTGCATTCTGCTGTCATGTATAACAAATTACAAAAAATAAGTAAATAAATAAATTTAGAAAAAAAAAGAAATGTGATAGTTGAGGTCTAGCTCAATGGTAGAATGTTTGCGCAGCATGCACATCGCCCTGGGTTCAATCAGGAACCCCTCTCTCTGGAGGTCTTGTGGGCTGTGCTTTGGGGCCTGGTCACCTGCACCTGTTGCAGGGCAGGTCAGGACCACTCTTTGCAAGCTACTGACTGGCCACATAGCTGCACTAAGCTGGGTTAATGACAGCAGGGGAGGGGGGAGTTGGTGGACTGTAGTTACTTTGAGATTGCATCTAGGCCCCAACCGGTGTCCAGAGCTGGGAGTTTCCCAAAATAAAGATGGTGACAAATGTGTCCAAAGATGGAGGCGGCTATTTTCAGAGATGGGGTGTCGGGTCAGGCTGGTTGGTGGTGTTGGGTAATGTGTTCCCAGATGCAGCTCTGTGGCATGCAGTGTTGTGGCTGGTAGCGGTCTCCAGATCCTGCCCAGTGTCTCTAAGAGCAGGTGAATATGGCAGTGATTGCAGTGTCCCAAGATGGAGGTGACCTGGAGAGCCTCACACTGGTAGACGGGGATCGGGGATCCACATGGGAGCGGTGGCCAGTGATCCTGCACAGGAGTGGAGACTGGGGGTCCTGTGCAGACGGTGATGCCCGGGGACTTGTGGGGAGATGTTGGCCTGGATTCTTACCCGGGAGCAGCTGTCGGGGGTCCTCTAGTAACTCACGGAGAAACAGTTTTCATACTGCTTGAATCCCAGGTCACGGAGCAACAGGGAGTGCAGCCTCCCTCTAGCCCACCATCTTGGATCTCCTCAACTGTAACATTTCTATGTCTGTTTCCTTATTTGTAAATAAGGACAACAAACCTGTTTTACTGCAGCTGTTGAAAGGATCGAGCTTCAGTGAAGTAATGTGCAGAGTCCAACACAGATGGCAACCCTCCACAGGCATATTCCCTTGTTCTTATGGTTGTGACTTTCAGTTGATGAATCCTCCACCCACATAGAGAATCCTCTGCTCCTCTGAGGCACATGACTCATGACAGCTGCCAGAGCCTATGGAGAACACATCCAAGGAACTGTAGTAAATATGCTAAGATACATTGGTCGTTTATTCACAAAGGAACCTAGAAAGTTATAAAAGGAAAAGAAGGTCCAAGATTCCCTCTGCTTGAGCGCCCCCATGTGGTCCAACTAGAAACGTAGGACTGCAGCCTTGGGAAGAGGCTGTGGATCCAGGAAGAGACTGGGAGGCATCTGCTGAAAGCTGGGAGGCTCCCTGAGCAAGAGAAGACAAACAAGGGAGAAAGACTAGAAAAACAAGTGTGGAGGCAGAAAATTGGTTGAAGAGGAGTTGAGACTGCCTTCAAACATAATGTCACCTTAGCAGGCATCCAGTGACAGAATCCCATAGGAAATAACGTACAAAATAAGTGGGCATGCACCGGAGCCAAGGAATATAGCTGGAAGTCCTGAGTCACTCCTTCCTCCTTCCCTCCCTCTCTGGTCCTCTCTCCCTCTACTATTTTTCCTTTCACTTCTGTATGTTCCTTTCCCCCTCATTTATCAACCCATCCATGCATTCCCCCATCCATCTTGCATTCACTCACCACCTGCACTGGGGAGAAAAGACAAATTAAACTGCGTCTAGTCCACTTGACCTGAAGAAGCTCAAAGGCTGGGGCATGGGAGAGAATGGGTGACAAGCCAAGAGGTGTTCATAACACATCCATACTCACCAACTAACAATCACCAGGAACATGTTTGTAGTTGAACAAATTTGGATTTGTTGCTGGTGGTATTGAGGGAAAATGTACCCCCAAGGGGACAATATGGAGCAAGTCAGCAACAAGGCTTTAGAGCTGTGGGGGCTTCTGTGTCGGACATTATGCCATCTGTGACATCTAGTAGGCCAGAGAAGTGTTTGGGACCACCTTCCCCCTTTGTTTTGTGTCTGCTGTGGGAATTATAGCCAGCAGAGGGGCCAAAAGCGGTAGGCAGTTTCCCTTGGCAATTCTCACAAGCATCTATACTTGGGGGGTTTCTGGGAGTTTTCCCCAGGAAAACATGCAAAGGCAGGGGATCAAGTATTTCAAAGACTCTGCCAGTTTTGCAGAATCCCCAGGCTCAGAGGCAGAAGAGGGTCACCCTGATGTCCATACAAGTGGTAACCCGCTGGGGTCCAGAATATCTTAGGAGTCTGAGCATGACTTCCCACAGCTGGACTGAGTGAATATTTTGTGTCCTGAGGTGGGCAAATTCTTTGAGATCAGCCAGATGTTTCTCACAAAGCAGCTGCAGTGACTGTGGATAGAACAAATGCTTCTTCCCATTCTTGAGGGTCTACGCTTTGCTGCCAAGACTGTATTGAACTCAGCAGGAGCATTTTGTTGATGTGTAGTCCAGGTCCATTGTACAAGACTGAAGCTCAGGGAGAACAACATTTACACAGGGAAGCAGGAGTGTATAAAAGGAATCCTGCCTTCTGAACTGTTTCAAGAAATGGCTACACATTTTGGCTATTAAGAAAGGAGCTATAAATCCAGTAATCAGATATCTTAAGAGTGATAGTGATCGTTTGGCAAAAAGGTACAAAAAGTGTTTTTTTTTTTCCTTCTGGGTCAGAAATAGGATAAACTGAAAGAAAGGAGAATGTATGAGTATCGTGAGGGTGACCAAATTGAATAGGTAACACTGAGAGCAGAGTAAATGGACAGAAAAAGAGTGGAGAAAAATGAGAAATTAACCTAGTTTGGGGCAGATGCTGCCACTTCTGAAGTAGATTGCTTATTCTGCACTCTTTGGCATACAGAATCTGTCCATTTCTGACATGAGCTGCTTCTGGAGAATCCTTCAAATGGTCAGTTTGAGGTTTCCCCATGGAGTAGACGTCTAGTCCTCAGGGCACAATGATACATGACTTTTTCCCCCTTTTTAAAAATTTTTTATTCTAATTTGTTACATTTGGTAGCAGAATGTATTATAACTCATATTTCACATATAGAGCACAATTTTCATATCTCTGGTTATACACAAAGTACATTCCACCATTCATGTTTTCATACCTGTATTTAGGGTAATGATGTCCATCTCATTCCACCAACTTTTCTATCCCTATGGCCCCTCCCACCCCTTTGCCCCATCTAGAGTCCATCTAATCCTCCCATGCCCTCCCTCCCTACCTTACTATGAATCAACCTCCTTATATCAGAGAAAACATTCAGCATTTGGTTTTTTGGGATTGGCTAGCTCCATTTACCATTAGATTCTCCAACTCCATCCATTTACCTGCAAATGCCAACATTTTATTCTCTTATATTGCTGAGTAATATTCCATTGTGCATATATACCACACTTCTTTGTCCATTCATCTATGGAAGGACATCTAGGTTGGTTTCACAGTTTAGCTATTGTGAATCATGCTACTATAAATATCGATGTGGCTGTGTCCTTGTAGTATGCTGTTTTTAAATCCTTTGGGTAGACCAAGGAGTGGTATAAGGTGGGTCAAATGATGGCTCCATTCCCAATTTTCCAAGGAATCTCCATACTGCTTTGGCTGCACCAATTTGCAGTCCCACCAGCAACATATGAGTGTGCCTTTTCTCCCACATCCTCACCAATTTATTGTTGTTTGTATTCTTAATAGCTGTCATTCTGACTGGAATGAGATGAAATCTTAGAGTAGTTTTGATTTGCATTTCTCTAATTGCTAGAGATGTTAAACATGTTTTTGTATATTTGTTGATTGTATACCCTCTTCTGAGATATCTGTGTTCAGGTCCTTGGCCACTTATTGATTGGGTTATTTGTCTTTTTGGTTTTTATTTTTATTTTTATTTATTTATTTTTTATTTTTTTTAAATTTTTTTTAAGAGAGAGA